ATGGTTTTTAAGGGTATCCAATGGTGTAGAGAAATATAGGCTTTTTGTAGGGAGGCGGTTGGTAAGGTAATTGGCTGTGGAAATGGCTTCAGGCCAGTAATAGGCAGGAACACATGATTTTATCATCATGGCTCGGGTCATTTCCAAAAGGGTTCGGTTTTTTCTTTCGACTACGCCGTTTTGTTGTGGAGTATCACGACAGGTAGTTTGGTGGATAAGACCATTTGTTTCAGTAAAGATTTCCATATCAATATTCTTATACTCAGTACCATTATCAGACCTAAGAATTCTAATTTGAGTTTGAAATTGTGTTTGTGCTATTTTATAGAAAGAGACAAAAGTCTTATAAACATCAGATTTATATCTAAGGAAATACACCCAACTCATCCTTGTGCAGTCATCAATAAATGTAACATAATATAGAAAGCCATGATTATTAAACTCGGGAGCTAGTCCCCATACATCAGAATGAATCAAAATAAAAGGTTTATCAGTTCTACTATCACTATTTGGATAAGAATGTTTATGACTTTTTGCAAGAATACAAGCTTCACAATTAAAAGAAATGTTTGAACTAGAAAGGGAAGGGAAGAGTTTTTTTAGGTAACCTAAAGAAGGATGGCCTAATCGCTTATGCCACGTCCAAAGCTGTTGTTCAACCGTCCCACGAACAAGCGCTGCTTTACTCTGTTGAGGCATCTGAGTAACATAATATAGTCCGTCTTCCTCAGTACCATGCCCAATAATCTCCCCTGTCCGAGCATCCTGAACAGTACATCCTAGAGAATTCATAAGAACAGTACAGTTTAAATCCTTTGTCAATTGGCTAACAGAAAGTAATTTGTGGGATAAGTCTTGTATAAAGAGGCAATTAGGTAGTTTGATGTTATTAGAAATTTTTACAACACCTGACCCCTTTGTTTTAATTACCTCTCCATTGGTTGTTTGTATGTGATTTTTTCCAGGTGGGTGGATTTTTTCGAGGTCATTGACATCGATGTCATAGTGTCAGTTGCTCCACAATAAAAAATCCATTTGGTGTTTTTGTTTGGTCATTGACATCGAATGTCATAGTGTTAGTTTCAATTTTCTGATTTTTGGCCTCATTGGTTTGTGAAGTAGTGAATATGGGTCTAGCAGTATTATTGGGTTTTAAGGTTACATTGTTCGGTTTTATGTGGGTATGAGGGTTGAGCTCTTTATATGTGTTATGACAAAGGAGGCTAAACTTATTCCTAATATGTACATCAGAATTTATACCAAAAAAATCTAGGGTTTCTGAATTCATACCTTCCCTCTTCTCTGTCATACCTGAGGTAGAGGAAATGGTGGCCGTTGTTCCCCCTTCGTGACTTGTTTCATTTGCCGCCGGTGTTTCGCCGGTACCGATAACTGTATTGCCGGAGCCTTTCTTTTCCCCTTTCTTCTTTCAGTCTCCCCACCAGTCTGGGTAGCCAATTATCTCGAAACACCCTTTCTTTGTATGTCTCCTACCTCCACAGTGGGTACATTTGAGTCCCGCCTTATCGTCTTCTCGTCGGAAATTAGGCTTCTCTGTTCGTCCTTTCACGGCGAAACCTCCACCGATTCCCAATGATTATGTCGGTAAGGGTTTCGGTGGTCCAGCGTTCATAATTCCTCGCCGGCTGATCTCTCTTCTGATTATTGCAAAGGCTTCTTCCGGTGTAGGGAGGGGCTCCTGGTTGAGGATGTCCCGTCAATCTTTGTCAAGGGTCTCATCTACCCCTGCTAAGAACTGATACAGTCTGTTTTGTTGTATAATTTGATTATATGTTGTTTTGTCCTCTGGGCTGTTCATCGGGTTCGGTGAGTGCCTGTCATTTTCCTCCAGATTTCGGTAAGCTTACTATAGTATACTTCGATTGGGTCTCCCCCTTGCTGGATTTTATTTTCCTTGACCGTAAGGTCGAAAATTTGAAGTCCATCTTTTGTCCCATCGTATAAGGTTTCAATCCCTTTCCACAAATCTCTTGCGGTAGGGTAATCCAGAAACTGATTTTGTAGTTCTGGATCGATGTTTCCGATTATCCAAGAGATTACCAATGAGTCCCGTTGAAACCACTTGGTATATTCTGGATCCTCTTGGCTTGGCGGGGAGGCTGCGATGTGGCTGAGCCTTCCCCTGCCGCCGAGCTCCAGTTGCATTAATTTGGCCCATTTCATAAAATTTTTGTGGTTCAGTTTATCTGGAATTTGGATTGGCTGGATAGTCTAATTAGAGTTTTCTGTGGTAGGCTTATTGGTGTTTAACTGCGATAGCAGTTGCATTAAGTCTTCCATGGTTACCGGTTTTTGGACAACATCTTTCCTCTCGGTTACCATGGTAGATGATGAGGTTATAGGTTGCCGGAGATCGGAACCTGGCTCTGATACCAACTCAAATTAAACACTGTTTTTGTGGTTTTAAAATCTATATTAAAGCATACGAGTAGTTATAGCATTATATACACATACTCTTGCCTTACTTAGCTACAATTACAGTTTGTAAATACTCCTAATCATAGCTTGTAATCACTCCAAGAATCACTCAAGAATAAGAGTGATTTAATTCAATCTACCTAAATATGGAAGGGTTATATTTACATAATATTCTGGATTTCTAACACTTTCATTAAACACTTTATCTTCATCTCCCCTCTTTAATTCAACCTTTTTATTTTCTCTCTTTGATTTTAGTCCCTCCATCCTCTTTCTATTAAGTCTCATTTTAAATTAAAGTTTAATTATGTTTTCAGTTACATATTACACTCATATTATTTATTGGTATTTCCTCACTCATCTCTCAATGCAATTTTCTATGAACAAGTCGTGCATTGCACGGGTCAGAAGGCTAGTTAGTATTGACAAACCATAAACTAACTAAAGTAAACAACGACCACAAGGGGTTAATTTGTTATACCTTGGCTTTTTTTGATTCCAATGAGGTTACAAGCACCAATAGAAGAAAAAGAACAGAGTGAAAACAAAACACACGACAGAAATAAAAGAACGAAAACAAAACAAACTAACTACCTAGGGAGGAATAAGCCGTGGCAAGGCCACACCTTGTACATCTTCCTCCAAGATACGACTAAGTTCTAACGGAATACTACTATTAAAATAAACCAATTTGTTATACCTTGTAACAGTGATAAATCCGCATATAATTACGGATATTATCAACTTAAATGAGCACTCTGTTGCCACTTTTGCAACCTTGAATTTTCACCAAAAGGAATTAAATCACCAAAAACGGAGACAAACCAGAATTAACAATTTAATTTAGGGGCAGGTTAGTAATAAAGGCGATTAAGGTTAACAGATGAACCATACATGCCTGGTTAGCCAATTAAAATAATAACTAGCATAAATTAATCAATTATACAAAATTACGAGATCACTTTAGAAGCTGTGAAAAATACATGTCCACCAGATAGAAAATTAAATACAAGGCTATCATTCAGAATTTCCCAAAGTTTTTTGGTGCAAAAGTTCCATTGACTATACATGTAACTCACTCATTTTTACTACTGTATATAAGAGTAGAGAGTAGAGACATTAATATCCCATCTAAATAACTGTACAAGCAGGTACTCAAGTTTTTTTTTGAGCAAGGAAAGGAGAGCATGTAATCTCAAACAACTCCAAACTTCTCAACATGTAATCTCATTTATTCAATCTTAATAAATCACAAAATCTTAATATGTTAGATTAAGGAGATTAACAGAACAGAACAAGTTGGCACCATCACATAATCAAGTTGTCAATCTTGTCACACTAAACAGACTCTGAGACATTTCCGAATAAACTGATCAGAATTACAATGGAAGTTTAAAGCCAGGAAAACAAAGGGATGACAATAATCATTGTAATCGTACTTAATCTAGTTACATTACACAAAATCAAGTTAAACATACTGATTTATGGGCAGAAAGAACTGCTATCTGCTGATACATGTATCAGTTTGAGAAACACACTGAATTTCCTTACATTACCAAAGACATGTGAACTTGTCTTCCATTAATTGAGTGTTTGATGTCTTCCAAAATGTGCTTTTTATCTAAGTATTGAAGGTAACAATCAATCCGTTTGAGACCTATCACGCAATGCATGGATGTAAGTACCAACAAACTCAATGTCACTGAGTAGAGAACTCTTTGGAGCAGCTAAGAGCGTGTTATATATCTGGTATTCCCACCATAGTATTTCTTTACTCTGGCCTACAAAATAGGATACATACAAAGTGGAGTATTTTTTTTCTCTTACTTTTCACAATTTCTCATTCCTAAAAATACCCATTTGCCTAAATTTTTAAACACACCATATTAGGACACTTAAAAAAATAAATTAAGAAAAAAAATAATTTGAGGGAGTATTATTTTTACTATTCCCACGCACATAAAAGTATCGAAACCACAAAAAGTGAATGATGCAAAGACTCAAACTACTACGTATAAAAAACAAAGGAATCAATAGTTAGGGACTTAGGGAAAAACCATACGCTTCACACTTTAAACTTCTATAGCGCCACAAACGGTCTAAGATTGCTTATGTGTAAGTAAGATAATTTTGTCTCAATAAGCTCTTTGCCAAAAAAAAACAGGACAATTATCAGTTTTTTTATTCCTTGATCTATGAAACAGTGAAGGTGACTTCATGAATTGCATAGATGATCAAGATTTATTGAAGCAAGGAGGCACAATAGTCAATAGTCACCAAGCAAATTATCTGGTAAGCTTGATTCAATGATCACTTGGTTATCTTTGGTTTGCCAGATCACTTGATTCAATGATCAATTAGTTGCTCAAGGGATGAGGCATTAAACTATCTGGTAAACTTTTAGGTAAAAAAAAACTCAAAAAGAGATAGAATAACCTGTCAGAGATAACAAAAAAAGGACATTAGCAATGCACATGTCAAAATTTTATAACAAAAGATGTACATTTAACTAAACAAATAAACTTATATCACTGCTAGAGTATTCACAATTGATAGGACACTAATCAAGAAGAAAATTTTTGATATAACACAAGGGATTTTTTACATGGAAAATCTCTTCAATGTGAAGAGTAAAACTACGGGACTTGTAGGAGTCCACCTTTTTTTTTCTCTTATTTTTCTCTTATAGGAGGGTAACAAAATATAACAGGTTTCACAAAGATTAATAAACCACCAACTATACATTTAGTCATATACTATGATATCAACAATGAGAGGAGAAAGGTTACAAATATCACTAGAAAACAGGTTACAAAGCTCATATCTATGATGACGCCATTTGAATCAAAGCTCCATGAATGCGGACCAGATCTAAGCACAAACGCACCAGAACAATCTTAATAACAGCATGTAGCATCACTGTGTAAGCTTTTCCCACCTTCTAGGAAGGGTTGAAAAACTCCACTAATCATTTGCTCAGTCCAATCCAATTCAACTACTGAAGTTATTGATGTACAAACAAGAGCCTTGATTTACCCTTCAAGAATGTTAAATGACTGACAGTTAAAAAAAAAAAAAACCTTTATAAATTCATTTTGCTTGATTCTTGGTGAATCACTGATTGCATCAATGATGCAAATAGCCAGGCATCACTAAGGAGCATCGAAAGAGCCACCATCTTCATTTCAGTACAACATTCCTAGTTTCCTACATTGCATCTCTGAAGCAAATCTCCTTCCTTGCAAAGTCTGGTAAAAACTTGCTCCCTCAGCTTGATTATGTTTTCCCCCTCAATAACTTGCAGCTTAAAGCACCCCAAAATTTTCATTATTATTAGCACCTGAAAGCATCGAACAATAACAAAATATAGCATAAGTGGTAAAAATTGCAAAGCACTTTTTAAGAGCTTGGAAGCTGTACTCATGCTTCAAAAATACAGTACTGTGTATCACCTGTTGCATCCACAATGCAAATCGCCTGGCATCTCTAAAGAGCATTGAAATATTCACCATTTACACTTGAGTGCAACATTCTTACGTCACTAAAACCTTGAAAAATTAATTGATAGATTTCAGCTTATAAAGGTTAGTAGGTGATTCAAGTCTGAAATTTCAGATTCCTAAAGCTTGCAGGACCACCTGAGTGAGGATATCATGGATCTGAGAAGAGCTACAATAAACAATAGCAATTAATGATTAATTTCAGAAACAAACCTATACGAAATCGAATACGACAAAATGAGTTGGATAAGAACAGAATTCAATTAAACAGGGTATATAACTATAATTCTTCTTGGAAAAACCAGAGAAACTTACAGCAGCATGGGATTGTCCATCAGGGAATCATTGTTCCAATTTTTCAACAAAAAAAGGCAGAGGCGGCCTTAATTTGGTCATCACAATAGGCTATAATAAGCTGTCAGAATGTGAAGATAAGATTAGAAATTGTTGATCCTTAACCAAGAACAAACAGTAGAAAATGCATCACCTACAAAGAAAGCCTAACGATTGTTTCCTTCTCGTCAGTATGTGGTACGTCCTTTCAATTTTTCAACTTACATACAAATTAAGTTTCATGTTGTAGCATGAAAAATAGTATAAGAGAGAGACACCTTAATAATAAGGTTTGACAAAAAAGGAACAAAAGCACAAGTGCAGCTCATGCCGCATTACAGTTTTCTGTTCTCTGTGTATATACACTTATACCAACTGATTCAATGGTACAAAATTCCATACATCAGCATCCCATATTTCCATGCAAATTTGTATTCATGTTAATAATGTCACAATAATCACAAGTCACATAACTAGAGATGGCAATAAATCGGATTTGGATCGGGTGGAGCTTCACCCGCATCCATCCATTATCCTAATTGCTCCATCCACATCCATCCATCATCCGCTTCACCCATCACCCATATCCGTCCGTCCATCATCCGCGGATGAAACGGGTGGAGCGGATGACAAATGGATGAGTATTAAAATGAAAAAAAAACTCAGATAAACTTTAATTTTCGGTTATTTATATAATAATTTTTTTAATTTATTAATAAAAAAGAAACAATAACAACATATTGTTTGAAAAATTAATTTGCAACAAAAAAACAGACAAGTAATTTTCTTGCACATTCTATATTTTATTAGTAAAATTCTTTGATTAAAAATTTAATATATGTTAAACGGATGGGTGGATGGTTAGCGGGTGAAAAAAAAATCATCCACATCCGATCCGATCCATCATCCGCTTTATCCGTCACCCGCTTCTCATCCATTTAATTCGGGTTTTCGTCCATTTATTTTAAGCGGGTGGAGCGGGTTAGCGGATATCCACTTAATATTGCCATCTCTACACATAATTCATGGTTGTACACACAACAAACAGTGTTGGATCAATAATGACTTTGAAATTAGAATCACTAGCTATCTTAGGGGCGATATAATAGCACAGACAAAGCATATTTGACAGTAGGATGTTCCAGTATAATTGTTCTATTTAAATGTAGTATTAAGTTGAGTAAAATTTCCTATAGTTATCCTTCAATTGCAATAGGAGTTAGTTTATATCAATCATTCACATAAAAAACGCTCAATTGCATAAAAATGATATAGACATAAAAAGTATAGGTTTCAGAAACTCACAATTCAACATTAGAGATATGTTGGAGAAGGTGACAATCTTGGCCATTCGGCTTCTCATATCTTTTTTTCAGATCTGGACAAGCTCGTATATGAAGTTTTTGTAAAGAGGTAAGGCTTAGTAATGATTGTGGAAGTTTCGCCATTTTTAGGCAATTACCAATCTTCAGCTCACGGAGCAAGGAGAGGTTTCCAATCTCTTCTGGAAGTTGTTCCAAGTTTCTGAATCTTTCAAGTCCAAGGATCTGAAGCATTGGTACGCAAGCAATGAGTTGAGGGAGCTTTTCTTCCAAATCATCACTGACGCCGTGGATTATCAGTGTCTCAAGGACGTAAAGATTTCCCAGTGATATGTTTTTGCAACCTTTAACTACGAGATGCCGAATAGACTTTGAAGATTCTATCATCAAACTTGTCAGTTCCTGGTGATCATTTATTTTCAAGTTTTGTAGTCTAAAGAACCTACTACTGATTGACAGAGAAGCTGGTCCATCTTCAATCCCAGTAATATCCAGCTCTTTTAATGAAGTACAAAAAGTAGTTGAAGAAGATGATGATGATGATGATGATGATGATGAAAATGCTTCCTGATCATCAATTGACATCAGGTACAATTCAAACACCTTCCTATTAGCCCTAAATGACTCCAGCTTTGGAGCTAGAGACATTGACATCAACTTGGGGCACTGAAATACTTCTAATCGCAAAAGACGAGGAAACGACAACTGCCTTGTCTCACCATGATCATCCATTGATGGTCTTGTCCACCCCTTTAGAGACCTCAAACCCGATAAAAGCAAGACTTCTAAGGAAGGGAAGTAGACATTGTGGGCTCCAAAACCACACTTTCCACCACCAACCCGGATGTCATCTTCATCTTCTACATACTCTAACTCATAAAGTCTAGCTAAAAAAAGAGTTTTGAGATGAGGCAGCCGACTCAAGTGAGGGAGAACTCTGCAATTATGACATTCCATAATATCAATGGCAACAAGATTAGATACCCCATCTAACCATCTACGAGGCATCTCAAATCCTTTGTAATCCTGAAAAAAAATATGTTTAAGATTTGGAGGCAGTTGCAAGCACATTAACATTTTATCAATTAAAACTAAATCAGGAGTAACTTCCATGGATCCAAACATTATTCAAGATGTGTCAATTTCTGATTGTTCATCAAAGTTGCTCTTTGTGCTTCCACAACAGCATCACTTCGCCACTTGTTAAATTGAATATTTAGATATCCAGTAAAATTCAAGGAAGGTAATGAATCCATACCATAGTTTTCCCCAACAATAAATGAATCTAACACTTTCAGAGATGTCATTTTCCCAAATCCTGTCGGCAAATCACTCAAACCGCTCCCAGAGATTCCCAAGTGCCTCAAGCTGTCCAATTTACAAAAAATCTCTTGGCAACTCTTTAAGCTGAGAGCAATTCTGAATGTTCAGTGTTTGCAGGTTCTGTAATCTTATTATATCATCAGGAATACATTCCATGTACCCATTCGATGCAAGATTAAGGTATCTAAGATGCTTCAACTTCCCGATAGAATTTGGGATCATGGAGATTTTCATACCCTCTAAGTTTAAGGCACATAAAAACTGAAATTTCATAATTATCATTTCAAGAGACGATGATTTAATAGCAATATTAACATTGAATCTTAAAAATATCAATGGGCGAATCTTCCTAGCATCAAGCAATGACGCTGGAGCTTCCCATTCATCATCTTCGTCTGGCCTTCTTATTTTAACACTCACATGTATAAGTCCATCAGTTGAAGATATCTGGTCTAAAGGCTCAACCAATTGCTTCATCTCTTCACCAGCTATATCTTGAGCCAAGTCATGCACTAAATCGTGCATTCTGCATTTAAAGTTCCCGTCAATATCTTCTTTAGGACCTTGAAATAAGCTCCTCCCCAACAATTCCATAAAGTATTGCTCTCCAATATCTGTGCTTGATTGATCAAAATATCCTTGCGCCATCCAAATTTTTACCAAATGATTCTTAGTGTATTCATAGTCCTTTGGGAACAATGAACAGTAAGCAAAGCATTGCTTTAATGCCGGTGGCAAGTAGTCATAACTCAACTTCAACACTTGCATGATGATATAATTGATATCATCTTCCTTCCCCTTTGCCTTTGAGAGTCTAGTATCTCTAATTTGTTCCCACTCTTCCTTAGTTTCAGAGTAGAGAAGGCTTCCAACAACCTTGATAGCAAGGGGAACATTTCCACAACTATTAAGGATCTCCTTCCCTAACTGAGTAAAATAAGAACCACTACTCTCTTCTAGCTGTGATCGGAATGCAAATTTTTTGAAAAGATTCCAGGACTCCTCTTCAGTTAGAAGTCCTATATTGTGGGGTTTTGTTGTACCAACAGCTTTTGCAACGTAAGCAGAGCGTGTTGTTACAATAATTCTACTTCCAGTAGCACCACATTCAAGCAAACTTAGAAGATCCGACCAACTATACTGACTTTCATCCCATAGATCATCTAAGACAAGAAGATACTTCTTATCCTTTATCGATTCTAGGATGCGTGTTTCAATCTGACTAACTAAGAGTCTATCGGAATCCTCATTGCCGGTGAAGCATTGGAAAACTCTCCTGATTACAGTGTTTTGATCACCTACCTCAGGTACCCAGACCCATTTAGTAAGATCAAAATGGTTCTGAACAACCTCATCATTAAAAACCAGTTGAGCAAGAGTGGTTTTTCCAAGACCTCCAAACCCCACAATTGGAATCACAGTAATCCTTTTCCCATCAAATTTAGGATCAAAAAGCATTTCAGTAATTATTTTTTTGTCATTTTCCCTACCAGTGACATATTCTTTCGCAAGAGAGCCTGTTTCTCTATTCCTCATGAAGCGAGCCCTTAGTGGTTGTGGTTCATCTCTATGATCACAATAGGCATTCAAGTTTAAGCCAGAAATATCTGATTTGATTTCATCAAGTTGTTGTCGAATAGACTTGATTTTACGAGATATTTTCCAGTTAAAGCAAAGAGTGCCTGACCTCGAGAGAGAAAGACAAACCTGCTTGTTGACTTCCATCCGCTGTTTCTGGCGGTCAACACTGAGGACTTCATCAAACAAGTCATCAACTTGGTAAAGTACCATCCTCAGCCTCCGAAGCCACTCTTTGATGGCATCATCTCTGCCTTGCTCTTCCTGGTTCCTCTCAGCATCGCGAACTCGAGCTTGGATCAACTTGATGGTGTTCTCCAGCTTCTTTAAATCGTCTCGTGCACCCCACCAGGATGCAGCCTGTTTTATGGCTGCTTTACCCAAGGCTTCCAAGACTGTTCCAGCTAAGTTAAAAAGAACTCCCTCTGCCATTTTCTTTTTCTTTTTTTTTTTTTGTTGGTGCTTCACTCCCTTTTCTCTCAGCCTCGTGTGTTGTATGAAATGGTTATGATGGATGAATTATGGACTCTGCTTTACTGTCTATTTGAATGTTCACCAGTGAAAGCAGTGTGAAACGAAGAAAATAATTTATTCCAAAATCAATTTATCTACATTAATCTGAACTTGTTTTTAGGTTTGGGTTATACCATGGATTATTGTTTTTTTTTTTTTTTTTTTTTTTTTTGCATGAATGTCATGATCACATATATAAGTTCACTTATATACAGTAAATTAGTTTAGAAAATAAAATAAAGTATAAAATGCTACTTCTAAAGTTTAGTGGTAAAGCCTTTACTGTCTACTTATTGACATTAAATATTCAAATTTATGATATTATGTTATTGAGTTCACAATACAAACCTACTGAATGAGAACTTTTGTCTTTTGAAGTACCAAACTATTAGAAAATTAGATACAATTACCAAATTTAAAAGGTGTGTTTTAATATATACTTCATATACATATACTTTTATATTGTTTGGTGGGAAAGTGGGCAAAGTCCAGATGTCCATCACTAATATAATACAATATGCACTAAAAGCAGATAAACAATAAGGTGTTGCTTGTTACTTCGTTGAACTTTTTTTTGAGCTTTGTTACTTTGTTGAACTTAAAAATGGACAAAATGATCCACTTTTGACCATAAATAGTTTGTATCAATTGTCTTCTTTTTCTGTTCTAAATTTCTTCATTCCTTTCTTCATCAAATTGAGGAATATATATATGAAATCTTCTAAAATATGTTTTAGCATATATTTTCAAATTATCAACGTTTTATATCATTTTAAGACCGTGTAAAAAAGTAAATTGTGCAAACAATAAGAGCTGGAAGTAATAACGAAGCAAGTAGTAAAATCAAGACCTGATTTTGAGTGCCGAGTATGATGCTCCCTGGAAACAAAAGAGATACTCCGTAAAATAACTTCACAGATGTAATGTAGAAAGATTTTCTCAAAAAAAAAAAAAAAAATGCAATGTAGATAGTACATTAACAATGCACAAAAAATTTGTTACAAATTATGTTCAGGTAAAGCTATTAAAATGTACAGAGTTCAATTCTCACTGCATTTATAAGTTAGATGCATGTTTAAAGTTCACTTATCAAGGATTTATTTCCAACTAAACCGGTCACAATTAGAATATAAGTTCTAAAGTCAGTAAACAAATTTTTAAAAAAGAAACAAAGAACAAAAAACCAAAGGTAGACAACAACCATTCCACTCATACTCAAGCTAGTTCCAGAACACAAAAGCAAGTTAAACCAATACAGAATCATAGACAATAGGAATTGCTATGTGCTAATACATTCATCAGTTTAAGAAACACACTGAATTTCTTACATTACCAAAGGGAAAAATTTAAGCTCAACTTAGGCCGGCAATGATCAGAACACATCAGACTAGTCTTGCATTCATTGGGTTGTTAGATGTCTCACAAAAAGCACTCGTGCTGTGATGCAGGATTCTAATTCTTAAAAGTTACAACCAATCCATTTCGAGACCTATCACTCGATACACAGATGTAAACACCATAAAACTCAAACTCACCAGGTAAAGAACACTTTGGAACAGCTAAGAGTGCTTTACATACCTTGTATTCCCACCATAGTATGTCTCTTTTGAAGTCTTCATAATCAGAATGAAAATCAGCAATGTCATCTTTAACACTAAAAATAGATAATACCTCCAAAACATTTGCCTCACTTAAAATGTAGCCAAACAACTTTATGCAATATCATTTCAAATTCAAGTATCTTGAGCTTACTAAACAAATACTCCCTCCGTCACAAAAAGAACGACCCATTTTCCAAAACTTTGTCCAAAAAAGAATGACCCATTTGCATTAAAACACCCACCAATTTGCTACAATATTTGTGCAAAATTAGCTTCCTCTATAAAAATTTGATTTTCCATGTTATTTTATTACTTTCTCTCTCTATCTTCTTACAAACCCCATGTAAATTTATCTTTCCAATATAGTTGTACTTCTTTTTACTTAACTTTCTTGATACCCGCGTAATCAACTCAAATAAGTCGTTCTTTTTGGGACGGAGGGAGTACAACGGAATTAATAAATGCTCCAAAAGTGGGCAAGAATTAATAAATGCCCATAATCTTTGTAAATTGACTAAATTAATTTCCAAACCCAATTGAAGTTTCTTCAGATTAGGAAAACTAAGTATTCCCGGATTTCAGACAATTTAAAGTGAAGACATCCACCCAATTGAAGCTCAACTAGTGATCGAATATCAAATATAAACTGGGTACAAAAACACCATGAGTTATTTGGGCGGAAGGATCGAGAATTACCTTGATTGTAGCCACATTTCGGGTACAAAGTAAACTGATCAATGATTCGAATGCCATGACGATGTGGGAAGGTGATTTAGCGGAGAATACGATGTACGATGACTTTGAATCTTGTGAATCTTCGCTTTAGACTTCGGCTGACGGCATTGGCAGGCTGCCATGACGGATCATTACAGTCGAAGGAGAGGTGGGTGAGATGAGTCCAGAGGTAAGACGGAGGTTGCGGCGGCGAACTGTGTAATTTTCTCCTCTTGTAGTAATACAAAGGAGTTTCAGCCATTTTTAGGAGTGAGGTTTGATTTTGATTTCTGTTGGTGAAAGGTTTGTCTAACGGGGTGTTTGGAATGTGTGAATGAGAGTTTTCGAATTAAAATGTGGGAATGAGATTGGGAATTGATTGTTGGGAATATAGAAAGATAATACTTTATTACATACCCTTCCTAAGTAATAAAATAAAATGGTGGGAATTCACCTCCATTTATTCTCAATCTCATTCCCTTCTTTAATCCCAATCCCATTTAACAAACAAGAGATTTTGTTTTATTAGGATTAAAATTCTCATTCTCACCCTCAATTCCCATTTACCAAACACCCCCTAAGGGTTTTAATCAACCGTAACTAAGAATCTTACCCAATACTCGTAGTGTTTTGGGCTAGTTTGATTTTTACCTCACTGGATCTTGGTCGTTCAAATTTGGCATTGTTGGTATCTCTAATGTTGACAAATCTTTCGCTTCTTAATTCTTATAAAGGATAGGTACACCTAGAGGTGGCCAGTGGGCCGGGTTGGACCCAGCCCACCCTAACTCGCACGGCTGGTGGGTCACGTGGGTCCGACCCGGTTTCAATCCGGCACAGCCCGGCACAGCTCGGATTTAATCCGGGTTGTGTCGTGGGTCCAAAATTTTCGACACAACCCATTTCAACCCAGCTCAGTTTAACCCGTTTGATTCGACCCAAATCGCACAACCCGTTTTGACTCATTTAATTCGACACACCTAGCCCGTGAACCCACCTAACCCGACCCACCTGGCACAACCCAGCCCGCACGGCCCACCCGCACGAATGACCCACCCAACCCGCACGAGCCAACCCACCTAACCCGCACGCATGACCCACCCAACCCGCACGGCCGGCACAACCCGCACGGCCCGCACGGCCTAACATCCATTTAAAAAAAAAACGGCTAGTTTTTTGTATCTAACGGCTAGTTTTTTGTATCTAACGGCTAGTTTTTTAAGTGTATGATCATCCATTCTATTTTTCCTATAAATACCAATTCCATTTCACTCAAATTTCCACACAAATTCAAGCTTTCTTTCTCTCTTACTTAAAAATTCTTATTGTTCTCAAATTCTCAAGTGTTATATAGAGTTATATTTTTGTTAAAAAAAATCTCCTTAATATTATTATTAGTATTCTTAAGATTCTAAAAAAAAAAAGTTCTTCTCCATATTATAATTAGTAATCATACAAAAAAAAAATGAGCTCAAGAGGAGGAATGGGAAGGAGTCAAAGTGGTGGTCGAAGTGGTAGCCAAAGGAGTGGTGGTGCAAATTTTTCGTATGAAATTAATACGGAAAATTTAAACCAATTTGTCAATGAATATGGAGATTATGGTTTAGGAGATAGGCAAAATATTCAAACGTCTCCTCCACAACATTTCTCCCACGAGTCCCACCAATCATCAAGTTCAACTATGCCACCTCCATCGCAACCAACATCTCAACCTTCATCTCAAGGTAATTTCTAATTAATTTTTTATTGTTATGAATATTTAAAAAAACTATTATTAATGATTATAAAGTTAGTTTAGTTTCCAATTTTCTATGATTTACAATTAGTTAATTACCATGAAAAATGCGTTTAAATAAGTATAATTAAAATATTTAAAATTTAAAAGCTTATTTTCATGAATAGCATTTAAAAATTAATTTTAATAATTTGATTTATGAAAGGTGGTGGCGGTGAAAGTAGAGGTCGAGCACATTTTTCTTGGGTGTGGAAACATTTTGAACGAGTTGAGGTCACACCCCCGGGATGGCAACCTGGTCAACCAAAGAGGTTCACGTGTACATGCCTAGTTTGCAAGGCGCTAGGTGCAAATGTCAAGTCATATAATTGGAAAACGGGAGATGGAACCGGAACCTTGAGTCGGCATTTGCAAAATAAACACGACTTGTTCGAAAATGGCCCCCGTCCTTCGGGGGTGGCGTCCAAACACAATTGGGTGGATACATGAACCAACCCGCAGAGGTACACCTTTCATTTATAATAAAGATAGAATGATTGATGAAATGAGTACTTTAGTTATTGCTAATGAATACCCTTTTAGTTACGGTGAAAATGCAAACGTTGAGCATTTTAATAAAGTTGCATTACAACCTGCATTTACTCGTGTCCCCCGAAATACCCTAAGACGTTATACACAAACTTCTTATTATAAGTATAGGAGTGGTTTGATTGAATTATTTCGTACTTTTGATGGTCGTGTTAGTTTTACAAGTGATACATGGACTTCTAGTTTTGGCGAACCTTTTCTTTGCATTACTGCTCATTGGGTGGATGATGATTGGTTTATTCAAAAACGTATACTATGTTTTCAAGCTATGGAAGAAAGGCATACCGGTTTTAACATCAAAGTTCGTATTTTGGATTGTTTAAAAGAATTTCACTTGAATAATAAAGTTTTTTCTTTGTCTCTTGATAATGCAACTGCAAACACAAAGTGTATTGACTATTTGAAAAATGACTCCGAGTTGAATTTGTTGTTGGGTGGTAGTCTCTTGCATGTTAGATGTTGTGCTCATATTTTGAATTTGTCTGTTCAAGAGGGTCTCGCTGAGTTGCAACCATTGCTAAACCCAATTAGAACAGTTATAAAATGGATTAGGATTACTCAGTCAGTTAGAAGAAAGTACATAGCTATGTGTAAAGAGAGAGGTCTTAAGAAAAGACAATGGTCTATTGATACCCCTACCCGTTGGAATTCTACTTTCAAGTTGTTGAGTGATGCTATAAAGTATCGTGATATTTTGACCCAACTTTACAATGAGACTCGTGTTGATCCTACTGAGTTAATAACCGAAAGTCATTGGACTAATGCTTCTTTTGTTCGTGATGTTTTAAATGCTTTTGATAGTGCAACTCATATTTTCTCTTATATTTATGAGCCTAACGTTCATTTAGTCATAATTGAGTGTGTTAAAGTTGTTCACACCATCGAAGAGCATATGAAGATTGATGGACTTCGTCCCGTTCTTGATAGCATGAAACGTAAGTGGCATACTTATTTTAGTGAATTTCCAATCATTTATGGAATTGCTGCTATTCTTGACCCCGGTGTCAAAGCTGAAGGTTTGGAAAATCTTTTAGAATTTTATTATACAAGTTTAAGTATCGATTATGATGTTAGTGAATATATTAACAAATGCAAATCTGTTTTGGGAGACCTTTATGATCATTATGCATCTATTTATGGTTTTGATTTGGCAACACCAACTACTACTAGCACTTCCGATTCTAGATTTGGTTTTCTTGATAAAGTTATGAAAAAAAAACACAAAGCATCTACATCATTCTCATCATCATCTTCTTCAACACTTGCTATTAATGATTATTTGTCATATCAACATGAGACCAACAACAACTTTCAAATTATAAAATGGTGGCAAGAACATAAAAAAAGTTTTCCTATATTGGCGAGAATTGCAAAAGATATACTTGCAGTTCCCGCTTCATCTGTTGCTTCCGAGTCTGCTTTTAGTGCAGGTAGAAGAGTGTTAGATGAAAAAAGATCTCGCTTAACTCCGGAAAGCATTCAAATTTGTGTTTGTAAGAAAGATTGGGATCAAGCTGAAAGAAGAACTCAAGGTTTAAAGGAAGACGAAGACGATGAAGATGATCCTGTGATGATATTGGAGTCGTCAACGGATGATGCAGCTTCCGGGGATGATGATGCAACAAACATGGGTGGCTAGAAAAGTCTAAATCAGGTACGCTAAGAACTACGTGGGCTTTGATTCTTTCGGGATACGTAGGCAACTTATTTTTCGAAAATTACAATTTAATTGCAAAATTAAATTTTAGTTTTCTAAAGATAGGTCCAAGCCCCCCCCCCAAATTTCAAAAGAAGTACAATATAAGAACTACGCTGGCTTTGATTCCTTATTTTATAATATAAGGGTACGTAGGCATCTTAATTAAGAGCAAGCCATCAAATTGTTAATTTTGTAAAAATTAAAACACCACACAACCCACCCGACCCTAACCCACGAACCCACCCGACCCTAACCCACAAACCCACCCGACCCTAACCCACAAACCCACCCGACCCTAACCCACTAACCCACCCGACCCTAACCCACCTAACCCACAAACCCACCCGACCCTAACCCACTAACCCACCCTTCGACCCACCCTAACTCACTAACCCACCTTGACCCGTCTAACCCACGAACCTAGCTCGACCCACCCATGACCCGTCTAACCCACAAACCCAGCTCGACCCACCCACGATCCGTCTAACCCACAAACCCAGCTCGACCCACCCACGACTCGTCTAACCCACGAACCTAACCCTGGTGTGTCCAACTTCTCCGACCCAACCCACGACCCGGCCCACCCTACCCTACGTGTGTCGTGCCGTGTGTCATGAAACCCCAACCCGCGACCCACCTAACCCTAACCCAGCTCGCACGACTCGCACGGTGGACACCTCTAGGTACACCATTAAAATGTACAAAATTCAATTCTCATTGCATTTGAAAGTTAGATGCATGTTTAAACTTCACTTATTATGTAATTATTTCCAAATAAACCAATCACAATTACCTAGTCAGTAAAAAATATATGTACACTTATAGCTACTGTATTAAAATAATCGATAACTATTACTCCCTGCGTCCCCAAATGATAGTCCCTTATGGGTAAATTTTAGTCCCAAAATATTCACCCCAATTGTTTTTTCCAACAACCATTAATACTAATTTTTTACCAAAATTTCTTCCAATTTACAACAATATGTGTGCAAATTTAACTTTTCCGTGTAAATTTTGTTTTCCCATGTACTTTTATTACTTTATCTCTCTACTTTTTTGCATACCCAATGTCAATGTACTTTTTCAATGTAATTTTACTATTCTTATTTATGTTTATTAATTCCCGTGAAAAATGCCCATAAGGGACTATCAAAAGGGGACGGAGGTAGTATTTTAGACTACTTTAATATATTTAATATTTCTTATAACATATATATTTAATTTTATATATTAATAACTATTATATTTATTTTTTGTTATTATTATTCATATAATAATTATGTATATTCATATATAATTATTAAAAATAGTTATTTAAACATTAATAACATATACTGATATACAAACTATGGAGTATAATCTTTGGGTTTGAG